ATATAAAAAAAATAAAAACAAATAAATAAAAGTATAGAAAATAAAAAATAAATTTAAAAAAAAATAAAGAAAGAAAGAGAAATTGCTGGGGGTATGTGCATTTGACACTGATCTGATGTATCTATAAAAACTGTCCGTGCACACTCACCTTAACCCAGGAATCCAACTTCTAGTACTATGTTCCAGAAACAAAGGCAATAATAAGGAAGAATTTATGTTTATTACAAGATGGTTTATAAAGACAGACGAGAAAACTGGAATCCTGTAAAAGCTCATCCAGGAAAATTAATTAAAGCTCATGAGTTATAACTCATCCATACTAAGGATTTTTTTTTTTTTCCTTTCTCAGCACTAAGGATCAAACCCAGGGCCTCCCATATTCTACAGGTAAGTGCTATATCACTGAGCTACACCCCAGCCCCACTCCAGGGAATATCAAGCAGAAACTGGAGCTAGTGTATATACTTAGAGATCCAGGATGTACATATATATTATCAAGCAAGCAGCTTTGGGATTGTGGTACAAATTTTTATTTTTTATTTTTAATTTTTAAAGGAGAAGCCCTATTTATAAGCATTTGTGTTTATCACTACAGAGAAAGCTGCAGAAGATATAGCAATCTTATAATAATATTTCTTCAGGTTGAGGGAAGAAAGAGAAATCATTTCTTTATTCATAATTCTCTACATTATTTGAATTATTATTTGCCTATTGGTATTTTTTTTAATGTCCAAAGATAGCAGGAATTTTTTTAAAGGAATATTGTACAGGATATCTCTTATTTAACTCCCAAACTATTACAACATTATGAAGCAAGGTTCACCAAGAGGTAGCTGATCTTTAATGAATGGCTGAATTATGTTCAATATACCACAGGAATACTCAATATAGTTTTGTAAGATTTACAACAAAAATGCTTAATACTTTTTGAAGTGCTGACACAATAGAGTAAGAAGGGAAAAAATTAACTTATGTCAAACACCTTGGCCCCAACCTCCAACGCTGGATAAATGAAACATCATATTATCCAAGTCACTGAGCTGTGCACAAAATTCCACCAAGAGTGTGTGAGAACATGTACAGAACTCCTCTCCCACTTGCTCCTACACTCACTCTAGTGAGAGGGCAGCATGAAGAACAGGGTTACTATATTATGGGTACTCAGAGAACAAGAATCTTATTATAAATCTCGATTTCCTGCCCAAAAGAAAACAGGAAAAAGTTCTAACCATTTTCTAAGGAAAATCTCCTGATTAATGAAAATATTTCAGGAGGGATGAGTCTTCTTTTTCAATGTATCCAAGCTTAATAATTCATATCCATCCATGCTACTTGTGGGCTCTTACTGACTAGAACTACTCACACAAATTTTAAAGCACACATCGTCAAAGCTCCTGAGAAGTGGACAGAAACATCAATATTCATAAGTAGGAGCAGTGTTTAAATGCAGTTGTAGCAGGAAAGCTTCATCTATACCAGTCTCTAGTAAGGCTGGAGGTTTTAATATCAGAATTGCTTTTGAAATTACAAATGAAAAAAAAAAAAATCGGACCTTAAATATTGCTCAATTAAATAATTCAAAATCTTCAAATCCGAAAAGAGTACCGGTTTTAAACATACCGTGCCTACAATCTTCATCAGCTTGTCCATAGTTTTTCTGCAAAATAAAAAGACACAAGATAAAATTAAGTAGTTCAAGGACTGCTTTTGTTGTTGTTGTTGTTGTTACTAAGGATTGAACTCAGGGGCACTCGACCACCAAGCCACATCCCCAGGCCTATGTTGTATTTTATTCAGAGACAGGGTCTCACTGAGTTGCTCAGTGCCTCGCTTTTGCTAAGGCTGGTTTTGAATTGGTGTTCCTCCTGCCTTAGCCTCCCAAGGTGCTGGGATTACAGAAGCGCTGGGATTACCAGCGGGCACCACCATGCCTGGCCCAAGGACCGCTTTCAACAAAGATGTTAGCAAAGAGAAGCTCATCTTTGTCTCAAAGTTGAATCACAAAGATTATAAATTTAACCCATTAATTCACAGAGCAGAACTAACGCTGTGTTCAGGGAGGGTCACACAACACTCTACACAAATGACACTCTACACACACACCGGCACAACTCCCTTGTCCACTGACCCCCACCCAGACTTCTCACCTTCTTTCACTTCAGCTAGCCTCAGGTTCCTTCAAAGCTTAAATGAGAAAACTGGAGCGGTGAGGAGAGAATTTCCAGACTGTGACCACTTCATCTACCTCATCTACCCGCTTCCCCACTAACCCTGTTCCTGCTCCTGTCTAAACTCCTGCTCCTCCGCCTACTCCAGTCAGATCCACAGCTACATTCACCGCAGCCCGTTCAGACACGTTGCCACGTGCCCAGTGGTAGCCACTGATAGTGGAGAACGTTTTCCCACTCTGTCAGTGGTACTTTCTTCACACAGCTCCCAGGATACCCGGCTTTCTCCCTTTTCCTTTTCCTGAGATTGCTCTTCAGGCCACTCTGCTGGCTCCTCCTCTTGTGTCCAACCTCTTGACACTGTGGTACCACAAGACCAAAGCCTTGGTCCTCTCTTCTCTATCCACTCTGTTCACCCATGCTCTAGACTGTATCCCACGGACTCTCCCAAACTCTATGCCTGCACACCCGAACGCTCACTCAATGCCTCCCGCAGGATAGTAAATGACATGTCCAACTCCAGAGGTCCAAAAGTGAGCTCACAACACCTGCTCCCCTCTACCGACTCTCACCTCAGCTGAAGGAAGTTCCATTCTTCTAATTGAGGCAAGTGACTGTGACAGCTCTCTCTCTCATTCCCACACCCAGCAAATCTGACCATTTCCACCTTCAAAAGAGCAACTTCTTACTATCCCCACTGTTACTGTTTGGGGCTGAGTCACTGTTATCTTTGGCCTAGATTATTCTAACAGTCTCCAAACTAGTCTTCTTACATGTACTCTTATTCCTTAATAATCTCTTTTCAACATAAGTCACATAATTCCTACTGAATCATACCATACCACTCTTCCACTCAAAGTGCTGCCATAGCTCCCTGCCTCGCAGAAATAATCAGTCCTTAGGATGAGACCACAGGCTCTGCCCTTTCTCCTCTCCTGTATGCACACCCTACTCCAATCACAATGTCCTCCCAGCTATTTCTCAAACATGGCAGGCATGCTTCTGCCTCAGGGCCTTTGCCTGACTGTTCCCTTTGCCTCTATTGCTCTTCCTCCAGCTTTCCCTGTGGCTCAGCCCTGCCTCCTCCTTCTCAGTAGGCCTATCTTGATCACTGAATATTTTAAGCTGCCCCTATGTCCAACCCTGGTACTCCCTTGCCCTGCTCTCCTTTTTTCATGTAGTTAATCTATAGTGTTTTATTTATAGTAGCTATTGTCTGTCCTCCTACTAGAAAAAGTATAATGAAGAAGGAATCTTCTTTCATCAGTACATTCACCAAGTTCCTAGAGAAGTATGTGGTACACACTGTCACTTAGTAAATACTTGTCACTTAGTAAATATTTGTGTAATGAGTGAATAATTCAAAGTGCTGCACCACAGCACAATTTTCTAAGTTTAAAAACACAGTTTTAACTATCAAAGATACTCCGAAACTACAAGGCACTTCATTCATATCTCTTCAAGTCAAAATTAGCTGATTTGTACAGGAATAACCAGCCATAGTCCTTACTCACCAAAAAGGGCCATTTTACCCAGTTCCGCATTGGCATGCCAACACTGTTAACTCACCAGTTGCAAAAATGAGGCAATTCTGTAAAGAAGACTCTCGATTTTGATGCGTTCTATCTCCAGTGGACATGGCCCTGAGATGTCTGCCATGGAGTACTGGCCGAGAGAAAGGAGGGCCTCTGTGCAGTGCTTGAGGGCCATGTCATAGTCCTGCCTCTTCAGTGACTCACATGCTTGTTCACATGACTTTTCAGCTCTTCTGTCTTCCATGACTCAGGGACAAAAATCCTAAAGACAGGGAGAAAAGAAAAAGTAAGAGATTTTTTTTAAAGATTTAGCTATTATAAATTCTAGGCCATTCCTATCTCAACTTGCTTAATTATCTATCTAAATAGTTTCTTTCAACTAGTCTCCGGCTTAAGGTCACAATTAAGTTATTGATGCTACAAAATCTAAACTTCTCTTTTATATTTTATGAAGTCTGCAATAAGATCCAAGTCAAAATGTCAACCATAACCAGGTGCGGTGGCACACATCTGTAATCCCAGTGGCTCTGAAGCCTGAGACAGGAGGATCACAGTTCAAAGCCAGCCACAGCAAAAGTGAAGTTCTAAGCAACTCAGTGAGATCCTGTTTCTAAATAAAATACAAAATAGGGCTGGGGATGTGGCTCAGTGGTCGAATACCCCCGAATTCAATCCCGATACCAAAAAAAAAAAAAAAAAAGTGTTGATCATAAGCCAGGATTATATCAAATTTATAAATGAGACAAATTTATAAATAAATCATGACTTTAAATACTACAAAGTAAAACAAACCGTAAAGGATTTCCTTCTTTTAACCAGAGGTGAAGAAATATTTCATATACAAACCTTTAAATTCCAGTCTCCCAATTTCAATTTTGCAATAATTGTGACTACAGAAAATCAAAATCTATATAGTGTGAAATTTTTTTCCACTTATTAAAACACTGGCTAAAATCAAAGTTAGACCTGTCCGTTGCTTCAAATCAGCAAACATTTCCTCAGGGCCAGGTTCTCTGCTTACAGCCACAAATGCAAAGATGAAGCATGAGGTCACTGCCTTCAAGAAAATCAGACTATAGCAAGAGAGAAAAAGCACACTGAATGATTACAAGACTTATTCCATCAGCTAAAGACAGGCACTGGCCTCAAGAGTGAACAGGAGGGCGATCCAAATGGCAGGCCAGAGGGAAGCAGCATTCTGTGTCGCTCTGTGACCTGGGTCTCAACTAGTGGGACTACAGCTTCTCTGTCAGTGACACAGGACCCCAACACAGCTGTTCCCGCTGTGCCCCGCAGCATGGCTCAAGGCCTCAGCGTTAGAGCAGGACTTCCGACTCCCTGCACCCAACTCCCAACTACTAGCCCACACAGCGCTCCCAAGTGCCTTAGCACGATCACCACATCAGCACCAGCGCAGAACTCCCAAACGCCACTCTGCTCCCGTGAGGACACTCAGCTGCTACCCACCCACAGGAACTCTGGCTGCCACGACCCTGTGGACCCCCATCTACCAACGTGGGACTCCCCCAGTCGTCTCCATCTTGTGACTTGGCAGCTACTGCCATAGTCTCTTCACGCGGTAGTCTACCTGCACCTGGAGACATCCTACAGGCCTCCAGGACAGCCAAAACCTGCAACACTGCACGCCAGAGAGCTCATCTCTGAACACATCGCACAAAGCCATTGCCGGGCTCCCCACATCCAACCCAACACCCTAACCCTGGAAGCAGCCTGCCTGCATCAGGGGTCACCTTCCTTGACATCTTTGGTAGGGCAGCTCCCAAATTGGAACTCCAGCTGGCGGGGTACCCGGTTTCCAACTCCACCCTCTCCCCACCAGCCGGTAACCCATCACAGTAACTGCCCAACACAGAACAACTCTCAGTGGGACGGGTAAGCAGTGTGACCAGGGTGCTGCCCACAGGAGACATGGTGAGAGGGGTCCCTTAATTAGGAACTACAAAGGGAGAGAGAGAGAGTGCAACAGTTTGGAAACTAACAAAGAGACAAGGAACTGGGAAATCTTCAGGCAAAATAGGGAGATAGGACCGGGCGCTCAAGTCATATAAGCAGACCCAAAAGAGACTCTTGAGGTGCAGTCTCCCTCCAGGAACTCACTTCCATGTGCCCTGCACCAGAACCAGCCTTTCCATCCTGGTTACCTTCACCATCCTGATGGCAGAGATACCAGCTAACAACAGACAACCCCACCTATTGGATGAGAAGGGAAGCAAGAAAGATACTGGTCTCCAACCAAAACAATTAACAATCCTGGTTTCTGCTAGGTTTGTTGTTGTTGTTGTTATTGTTGTTGTTCTCTTTTTCTTCTCCACCTCTATTCTCCCACATCATAACCCCAACGTATGTGAAACCAAGAACTTTGCATGAATTAGGATTTTGAGGACTGGAACATGTGAATAGTATATTATACCTGTATAGTATATGTCTTTTTTTTCTTTTTTTCCTCCAATTTTTACTATTTTAACATCCTTTATTTTTCTTAATATATTTGTGTTTTTTTATGTACTCTATTGTCTTCTCATGTACTTGTCTACTCAAAATTACTTACTGTCCATTCTCCTGCTACTAACCCTCTTCATTAGAGTTCTCTTTCACACTTCCTAAGATATACTAACTCTATATTCTCACATTCTGCCTCCTCAGCATATCATCCTACAACTCACCCCCAGTTCACTGACCACCATCAGAAAATGTAAACACTTTTACAAACCTACTGATTATATTATAGATTATAATCAAATTCAACATTTCTGTATATTGTGAACAAACTCTAAACGTCTTAATAGCAACAAATTGTTTATAGGTGGTATATTGTTTACTTTGGGATTTGTTAACATTGTCTTCCCCCATAAAGGAGAGATATTGGAACTCTAAGGGAGCAATATAAGCCTATACGGTAAAAATGGTAATGCCGTGGACCCACAGCACTAGAAGGGAAGACACATGAGCAACAAGAAAAGACAAGGAAAGAAAGTGCCACAAACAAATCAAGAAACCCACATTATTAGAATCCATGACTAGCACAGCAGAAGAAATGACAGAGAAGGAGTTCAGGATGTACATCATTAAAATGTTCTGTGAATTAAAGAATTACATAAGAGAGCAAATATAGGCAGCAAAAGATCATTTTGACAAAGAGCTACATAAACAAGTATAGGAAGCAGAAGATTACTTCAGTAGGGAGACACAGGTGCTAAAAAAGAAAAACAAACAAACAGAAATCCTTGAAATGAAATTAACAATAAACCAAATTAAAAGTTCAATTGAAAGCATCACCAACAGAGTAGACCACTTGGAAGACAGGACCTCAGACAATGAAGACAAAATATATAATCCTGAAAAGAATGTAGACCACACAGTGAAAAAGTAAGAAAACATGAGCAGAACATTCAAGAAATATGGATAAAATAAAAAGACCAAATTTAAGAGTTATTGGTATACAGGAAGGCACAGAGTTCCAAACCAAAGGAATGAACAATCTATTCAATGAAATAATATCAGAAAAATTTCCAAACATTAAGAATGATTTGGAGGGCTGGGGATGTGGCTCAAGCAGTAGCGTGCTCGCCTGGCATGCGTGCGGCCCGGGTTCGATCCTCAGCACCACATACAAACAAAGATATTGTGTCCGCCGAAAACTAAAAAATAAATATTAAAATTCTCTCTCTCTCTCTATCTCAAAAAAAAATTTAAAAAAAAAGAATGATTTGGAAAACCAAATTCAAGAAGCTTACAGGATGCCAAATGTACAAAATTACAATACATCCACACCAAGGTACATTATAATGAAAATGCCCAACATACAAAATGAGGAGAGAATTTAAAAAAAAAAAAAGCCACAAGAGAAAAGAATCAGATTATAGAGAGAGCAAAACCAATTAGGATAACTGCAGATTTTTAAACCCAAACCCTGAAAGCTAGAAGATCCTGGAACAACATATATCAAGCTCTGAAAGAAAATGGATGCCAACCAAGAATCTTGTATCCAGAAAAATTAAGCTTTAGATTTGATGATGAAATAAAAACCTTCCATGATAAACAAAAGTTACAACTAGAAAACCGGCACTATAAGACATCCTTGGCAAAATATTCCAAGAGGAAACAAAAAATAACAATGAAAATCAGCAGAGGGAAGTATTACACTAATGGAAAAACTTTTTTTTTTTAAGAGAGAGAGACAGAGAGAGAATTTTAATATTTATTTTTTAGTTTTTGGCGAACACAACATCTTTGTTTGTATGTGGTGCTGAGGATCGAACCCGGGCGACACACATGCCAGGCAAGCGCGATACCCCTTGAGCCACATCCCCAGCCTCTGGAAAAACTTATCAAAGGAGAAACTAAGTCAAATTACAAAAGAAAAATAAACAAAAATGGCTGGGATACAAATCATGTCTCAATAATAACCCTAAATGTTAATGGCCTAAACTGACCAATCAAAAGACATAGGCTAGCAGATTGGATTAAAAAAAAAAAAGACCCAACAATATGCTGCCTCTAGGAGACTCATCTGTTAGAAAAAGACATACACAGACTAAAGGTGAAAGGTTGGGAAAAATCATACGCCTCACATGGACTGTGGAAGCAAGCAGGGGTTTCCATCCTCATATCAAATAAAGTAGACTTCAAGTTAAAGTTTATCAAAAGGGACCAAAAAAAGAACATTTCATACTGCTCAAGGGAACCATACACCAACAAGATATAACAATTATAAAAATATATGCCCCAAATAATGGAGCATCTATGTTCATCAAACAAATTCTTCTCAAGCTCAAGAGTCAAATTGACCAAAACACAATAATCTTGGGTGACTTTACCATACCTCTCTCACCACCGGACAGATCTTCCAAACAAGAGGTGAGCAAAGAAACTATAGAACTCAATAGTATAATCAATAACTTAGACTTAACTGACATATATAGAATATTTCATCCTTCAACAAGCAAATACACTGTCTTCTCAGTAGCACATGGATTCTTCTCTTAAAATAGACCATATAATATTCCACAAAGTAACTCTAAGCAAATACAAAAAAATAGAGATACTACCCTGCATTTTATCAGATCATAATGGAATGAAATTAGAAATCAATAACAAATAAAAATCATTTCAACAACTGTAGACTAAATAATATGCTCCTGGATGAACAAAGGGTTGTAAAAGGAGGAGATTAAAAATTCCTAGAGGTAAATGAGAACATTGATTCAACATGTTGAAATCTCTGGGACACTATAAAGGCAGTACTAAGAGGAAAGTTCACTGCATGGAGTTCATACCTTAAAAGAAGATGATGTCAAAAAATAAATGACCTAACATTACATTGTAAAGCCCAAGAAAAAGAAGAACAAATCAATACCAAAAGCAGAAGACAGGAAATAATTAAAATTAGAGCTGAAATCAATGAAATTGAAACAAAAGAAACAATTGAAAAAATTGACAAAAAGTTGATTATTTGAGAAAATAAATAAAATTGACAGACCCTTAGCTATGTTAACAAAGAGAAGAAGACAGAAAATTCAAATTACTAATATACGTGATGAAAAAGGTAAAATCACAACAGACACTACAGAAATACAGAGGATAATTAGAAATTATTTTGAAAACTTGTACCCCAATAAAATAGAAAATATTGAAGGCATTTACAAATTTCTTAAGTCATATGATTTGCCCAAATTGAGTCAGGAAGATATACACAATTAAACAGACCAGTATCAAATGAAATAGATGAAACAGAAGACATCATCAGAAGTCTACAAAAGCCCAAGACCATATGGATGCACAGCTGGGTTCTACAATACCTTTAAAGAAGAACTAATACCAATACTCTTCAATTTATTTCAGGAAATAGAAAAAGAGGGAGCACTTCCAAACTCATTCTATGAAGCCAATATCACCCTGATTCCAAAACAGACAAAGACACATCAAAGAAAGAAAATTTCAGATCAATATCTCTAATGAACACAAATGCAAAAATTCTCAATAAAATTCTGGCAAGTCGAATACAAAAACATATCAAAAAAATAGTGCACCATGATCAAGTGGGATTCATCCCAGGGATGCAAGGTTGGTTCAACATACGGAAATCAACAAACGTAATTCATCACATCAACAGACTTAAAGGTAAGAATCATATGATCACCTCAACAGACACAGAAAAAGCATTCATCAAAATACAGTACCCCTTCATTTTCAAAACACTAGAAAAATTTAGGATAACAGAAACATATCTCAACATCATAAAGGCTATCTATGCTAAGCCCCAGATCAACATCATTCCAAATGGAGAAAAATTGAAGGCATTCCCTCTAAAAACCAGAACAAGACTGGGATGCCCTCTTTCCCCACTTCTATTTAACATACTTCTTGAAACACTGGCCAGAGCAATTAGACAGACAAAAAAAAATTAAACGGATACGGATAGGAAAAGAACTCAAATTAGCACTATTTGCTGACGACGTGATTCTATACCTAGAAGACCCAAAAAGTTCAACCAGAAAACGAATTCAAAATAGTAGGATATAAAATCAACACCCATAAATCAAAGGCATTTCTGTATATCAGTGATAGATCCTGAAGGGGAAACAGGGAAAACTACCTTATTTACAGTAGCCTCAAAAAAATTAAAACACTTGAGAATCAACCTAAAGAAAGAGTTGTGAAAGACCTATACAATGAAAACTACAGAACCCTAAAGAAAGAAATCAAAGAAGACCTTAGAAGATGGAAAGATCTACCTTGTTCTTGGATAGGCAGAATTAATATTATCAAAATGACCATACTACCAAAAGCAGATTTAATGCAATTCCAATCAAAATCCCAATG